CCTAGGGCTCGTGGGACCCACCACGAAATCGGGCTACGGGCCCTGCGCTGGAGCTTGCTCGGGCTCTCTCTGGCAGCCTTTTACCCGAGTTGGGTTGGGCGCTGAAGATGCTCTAAGTGAACCCTGCCACCACCACTTGTAGGTATTTATAGAGAAAAAATACATAATTTTTGGGTATTTTGAAAAAAAAAAATATATATACATACAGGTAAACTACAAAATATGTAATATGTAAACAATATAGGTATACCTCAGAGCCCATAGTCGTAGATATGATGCAGTATTTGAAACTGCACCAAGAACAAACTCTATGGAGTGTATCATCTGGTGTACAAATACCTCACTGAAATTAAACTCCTCATGATGTTGCCTCGCAGAATCAGGCTCTACATCAAGGTCCATCTCTGAGGTGCCAAGCATCCCATACGCACGACCTTGAAACCTCTGGAAAATAACATCAGGAAAACATAGATATCATATCTTCTCAAGCTCCTTATATCTCCCCTCAAATACCTTTAAGTGAGTCAAAGACAAGTCTATACCACATATAAATAAACTAAGTCCACTAATTGAGGATACTAATCACTAGTAATCACATTTTAAACAACATTTACAAAACAGAAACGTCAAAGAAAATTTTGGCTTTAAGTTTATTCCTTTGCTGGTTTTCTTAAAAATCCAAAACTGAAGCCTAAGCATGTTACACCACAGTACCTCCGTATGAAGCTTCTTCAAAATAAAAGGTTTTGGAAAGAGCATCCATGGAACTGCGATTAGAGCCAAAAGCAACAAAATGATCTGCAAAAACAGAGCCCTGTTAACCATAACATAAATTGAGAACATAAGCCATTATACATACGAAGTAACAATAAAGAGAAGATTAGAACTTGTGCCTGAAGTGGTCTTTGGCCCCAGAACAATTCATTTTCACCAAGATCATCAGTCGGACTTAAGAACATGTAAATCATTACATGATAGAGGTCTGCCTGAGAGCCGGTGCACCACTTGATGACAATAAGAAGTGAAAGATATCCAAAAAGGCTGTTAAGAAAGATCACCTGCGGCACAAACTGGTACCTAACAACAAGATGCAGAACAAGTCAAACGCTTGTGCACTTCATTTGAAAGTAATACAACAATGGGAAAAGTGAAAAAACAGGAGACCCACCTTATATCAATCGAGCTGCTGAAAAACCGTGCATTGAAGTAACTAAGTAGAATTCCTAAGTTCATTTGCGCCACACCCAACAAAATCGACATTTTCATTTTGAGAGAATTCAAGAAAGGCAGCTCTGAACGACTTCCACGCCAACTGGGATCCACACCAAATGGGTATGGATCTCGGTACTTGATTAAACCAATAGTGTACGCCTCACTGCTCAAAAGAAGACAAATTTATGATAAGTAGTTAGTTTTCTGCTGAGGAAAGTCATAAGTTCAGCCAGCATAAACAATGGAAGATTTTTAAGAGTTATAAAATAGAGGTGATTGAGAAACCGCCAGACAACATAGTGCCATAAATGCCTAGTGAAGGACAGCTATGATTAGCAGATCAAAGTAAGTTCCAACAACAGTGATACACATGGCTTGGATAGATATCGTATCTTCTCAAGCTCCGTGCACCACAGACCAGACAGATGCTCGTAAGTAACACACCACCAAAGTCATCAATCAAGATGGGGAGAATCCCCATGGATTGAATGAGGGACGACCCTAGCGGCAGCAGGCCATAGGAATGAACTCTAAAGGAGGCAATGAAACCACCAATCCATCCAGAATGATGATGATGAAAAATAACTATTAGATTAATAAATAATTATTAAACTTTTAATAGGAAGATTCTGTGAATCTTATAAATATTAGATAATTCGAAAAAACATTAAAAACTCTTACAAGGATTGATCTCTAATTAAGCAGAGGTGTGATAAAAGCCATGTAACACCAGCCTAGTAGTGGGGTTTAAGCACATAGATTCCAGAAACCTCAATCTCTAAAACAAGAAGTCAGAGTGGTATATTGTTGAACACAAACTCATTCCAAACAACCCAGCTGAAGGAAAAATTAGAGATTGAAGATTTAAAATAGAGAGCTTACCTGCAAGCGGTATCTCTACATTTGTAAGCAGACCCACCAAATATGTGAAAAGGAACAGAGAAGAACTCATTGTAAATCAACCCACAGTAGATTGAAAATAGGGACATCAAAAGAAGTACATATCGCCCACCAAATAGCATCTCCATAAAGCTCCCAAGTTTCTGGTAGGAAGTAATATAAAATTTCTTAATAAGACAAGTGGAAAAAATACAATTCTCTTTCACGTGTTAAATGCATGTTATGTTCTTTCTAAACACCAGAATCATAACAAATATTTGTTAAAAACGAAAACTGAAAGAGAACTATCCTACTTATAGCTCCATATGAAAGAAATTATTGCTACTGTTGCTGTTATAAGTATTATTATTTGATACTGTCATCATTACCACAGTAAGACCACATCATTCCTCCATAAATAAACCATGAGATTGTGAATCTAGCTCAGGATATTACGTTGGTGCTAGCTAAATCTTTGCTGCAGGATTGGTTATATTATGAATCCTTGGATAACAAAAACCGCAATCTCTATTATATTAAATCTTGCTGAATAGCATAGACACAGTAACAACGACAACCAGAAAAAAAGTTCAGGGTCAGTGGTACTAGTGGACAATATTGGTTATGGCTAGGGTTGCAACATATCTTTTGACAACTTCTGGGGAGAGCGAAAGATACTTTTAATTGCAGCTGATCGAGTCAATGCCTATGAACTGGAAAATGGTACATGTTGCCAAGCAGCTTGAAGAAGTTTTGACTTAACTAAAGCAATATAATTCATTAGTGATCAAGTATAACGTCTTCAGATAGTACACTCCTCTTAAATTTAAATGCTAGAAGTTCACAAAAAGGGGCGTACCTGAGCACTGAGCTTAGTTTCACGAGCTATAAGAATTAATGCTCCCAGCAACAAGCATATTCCATGACCCCAGTCCCCAAACATCACCGCGAAAAGAAATGGAAAAGTAATACAAGTGTAAACAGCAGGATTGGCTTCTTGATATCTTGCAACACTGCCAAATGATCATATAGCTCGTCACCTAAACAACTTATTATGTTGATTCACTTATCATTTTCCCTTTGTAATGAAAAATGCTAACAGAAATACTTAAAAGGAGAATTGTTTCCTCATCATGTACTTTGCAACTGGCTCTCGCTCTTAATTTTCCTTTTTCATTTTTCTCCTATCAATTATGAAGATTTAACCCAGTAGTTAGAACGCTAAACTTTCTAGAATTTCAGCTAATTTTCAAACGAAGTTGAAAAGTTAATTCCCCTATTTTAGGTGTGGGCAAAGGAAATACAGAATATTCCTCATTATTTAGTTGTAAAGTAACAACTTGCAGCAAATGCAAGCCTCCCATCCCATTCCTCGACAAACTCCTAACATCTCCAAGCTCCACCCTTAAGTAGGTTGGACATGCAAAGCACCTGATGTCTGATATTTAATTTGCTTGTTAATTGAAGGACAAAAAATCTATGTAGTAAATCACTTGTGCCAGCATGCATTGGCTTTCCTTGCTAATGTGTCAACCATAGACACCTACCAATATGTGAGAAGTGTACAAACAGAATGTAATTTCTAATCCAAAATATTCATTATTTCTAAGAACATTTGCCCACTGTTCACCATTAATTGACCATGATTTCACGAGGAAAATGATGCACCAATTTAAAGACAATTTCCTTTCATTAACAGAAGAAATGATAAAGTGTCTAAATATCATATTTTGACTAACCCATATGCATCAACAATTTCCTGAAATGCACTCGTGAAGCGGTTGGTTCTGAAATATGTAGGAGGTGATTCTATTGCATCCATCAGGTGAAATATTATTCCCACTTGCGAATTGCTATCAAATGTAGCACGTTGCAGTGCCTCCTGAATCTGTTCAACCATAAAATTACTACATAAATATAACACAAGTTCGCAAAAGTCATCTACAATCAAAAAGTATTAAAGTAACAACATAGTAACATACCCTTGACAAAGCTAAAAATTAGATATAGGTACTCACTAGCTTTTTTTTTTTACACGAGTCCAATGGTATCTTTTGGATCTTGCCTTATTTTATGGCTTTTTGGAAATATCAGTAATGCCCTTTTAAGTATTGAATATAATAACTTGTACATTTACGTAAATTCTAAAACTCACATATTTCATTCCACTTTACATAAAAGTTGTATTTTGGGAAAAAAAAAAATCGTAAATATTTATCAAAGACAACTCATGATAACTATAACATTATGTATTACAAATGAACTGATGTACCTGTAAGACAGATACATTATTAAAATGAATGATTGCATCAAAAGTGAACTATAGGGGGGCAAAGGCTAATCTATCCGTGGTACATGCATTTTCTAGAGATGAAAAAAGGCCTTATGTTGCGTTAGGATAAGGGATCTGTATTACCGTTACATAAATTATTTTTTCAAAGACAACCTTAGGTTCTTCACGGGCCTTGTTTCATAGATATTGACGAATGTTGGCAAAAAATACAAATTCTATGCAAGACTTGGACATTTATAGACGCATTGTCGATTTTTTACAGAAAAATGTACAATCAGCTCATAAAATTATGCAGACACGTCATTAATGAGAGACCTAACCCAAAAGAAACATTGGACTTGTGATACTGCAATAAAACTATTGATGAACATAGTGACAGAGGTTACCTTAGTGTTTGCAAATATAGGACACCAGCCCTCTCCAACAAGACATTTTTTTGTAACATCAAAGTTAAGCATGTTCAATGTATCATATACAGCTTTCTCCCTTCTCACCTGGTAAAGAGTAGAAAACACGACATAGTTGTCACTATCAGGATAAAGCTAAACCACTCCAATTCACACAAACTGTTAGTCATATATTAGATCAATATTTTTTGTCGCTCACGCCAAAGAAATAACAATTAACAAGAGGCAAGCAGGACCAATATTTTACCATGTTCATCCATTTTGCTAGGTGAAACCCAACAGAAGTAAGGGCCTTATTTCTGTGACGGATCCCTGCATCCAAAGTTGCTTCCAATTCAGCAAGGCGTGACGAAACCTGCAACCCAAAACCTGAACTTTCAAAAAGATAGAATAGAGTATTTGTTGATACTATCATCAAGATCCGCAAATATATGCTATCACAAGATAAAACAAATTAAAAGGAGTAGTTGAAGATAATTATGCTATCAAGCTCACATCAGATATACACAAACATTAAAGCAGAACAAAGTTTTGTAAGATGTTTGAATAAAAACAAGGATTCCATCTTTAAGCTTGAAACTTCATTCTGTTAGGATTTTGGCTCGTCAAATATGTCCTAGTTGGTTTAGGATTGTTTTAGGAAAATTAGAGGTATACCAATTCTTGTCCTAGAGGGATTAGGAAAGAATTTCAGTTTTCCTTATTCAATTCAGGTTTGGATTTCTAGAAGTCTATTAGGATTTGGATAGTGTAATTTCCTAATCTACTTAGGAATAGGAATCCAATCAGCCTTGGGACATGTAAGCCAACTCTATATCTATAAATAGGGTGTGGCAAGGCTTATTTTAAGGAGAGGAAAAACAGCCAGAGACAGCCAAGAGTTTTCAGATTAGTTCTAGGGTTGCAAAAGTTCTGTAATCTCTATTATTAATCAAAGGAGCGGTGATTTCTCTACCTAGAGAAATCACAACTGGACGTAGGCAAAAGTTCTGCCGAACCAGTATAATTCTTGTGTGACTCTAAGTGTTTTAATATTTGCTAGTTTAGTCTATTGCCGTCGGTTACATCAAAGAACAAGATCTAGAAGGCGAGTTATTTAACAGAAGAAGCGTCATCGTTACCACACTCATCACTGCATTCATAATAGATTTTGGGAAAATATAGTTTCTAGTGATCTACATTAGCATAAGAGCGAACAAATAAACGAAAACAACAATCTTGAAAAAGAACAATTAGGTGATTTGCAACAACCTCTGTCAAAGACTATGTAGACCTAAATTTAGAGAACATGAGTAGTGTTAGAGAATGAATTTTGAGAGAATAATTTGTTTGAGAACGCCTAAATGGGGTGATGGAGAACTTCAATCGAAGCATTACTCAGAAGAAATCACCACAAGGTGGGTTCTTATTCAAAACGCCTCTCTGTGAAGTTTTTCTTTAGGACTCGCAAAAGGAGGGAATAGCTAGGATTTTTTTGTTCGTATAATTTCAGGGAAATAAGTTAGGTTGTGCATGTAGGTTGTTATGATTTTTCAAAGATGAACGTGGCAATTTCCGTTGTTGATTTTAGTAAACGACTCATGTAACGATTTCCAATTGACCTAAAATTTGAGTATGTTGGATTTGTACATGTCTAGTATTCAAATCACCCTCCCCAAGTATCAACTTACTGAATGAATACACCCTCTTAATACTCGAATATCACTTGTATGTAAAAGAAAAATAAATAAAAAATAAAAAATTCAACGGAATACACCCCCTTAATTATTTCTATGGAATCTCTCTAAAAAAAGAGATTATTAAAAATAAAAAAGTAAAAAAATAAAAACTCATTCCTACTGGATATAAAACTGCCGTCTTTGCTTTTCTGTACTTCTAAACTTATTGTGGAGAAGGAGAGAGCGACAGACAGATAAAAGAGAGAAAAAGAGAGAGTTAAGCTTACGCGGTGGTTACTTCCCGCAGAAGGTTCTCTGCGTTTGTTTATATATAAATATTAGATATATTACAGAGAAAAAGAGTAAAAAATAATAATTATTATTATTATTATTGCTGAAGAAGGAAGAGGGAGAGAAAACGTAGACGGCAGACTGCTATAATAATGAACGTAAAAATATATATCGCAAGGGGTTTCGTGGAAACCTTGTGCTGATGCTACAGTATTCAAAAGCGCCTTTCTTGACGAAATCCCTTTCGATTACCCATCTTGGCCTCTCAGTTCAAGCTTTTCGCTTTAGCTCTTTTGTCAAAGTCGTCGAATCTTTAGTTACTCGATATTTGGTTTGGGTTTTGGCTTTTGCTTGCGCGGTGGACCGGTGGTGATCGTGAAGGATTTGAGGGCTTTCTCGAGAAGATTTCTGCTGGGATTTGGGCTGCTGTTGATGAATTTGGTGGTACGTCGGTGAAGAATTTGGGGTCTGATTTTTTGCGTGGGACACTTGGAATCGGGGAATTTTGAGGAATTCATTATGGGTTCGTACTGATTAGGGTTTTGTAAGGATTGAAGTTGAGTGGTCGGTATTGCTGATATAAAGTCCGCGTTTTTGTTTTTGATCAAAATAAAGTCTGCGTTTTAGGTTGTCAATGCTGGGTACAATCATTGATTTTAATTTTTTTCCCCGATAAAATCTTTTGTGGGTTGTTCAGAATTGGTTAAATTTGGAGGTGGGTTTGTGATAATTTGGGGTTTTATCGAGGCTTAAGATCTAAAAATCGGGAATTTCCACTTGGTTGCAGGTTATTTTGGAAAAGTAGCGGAATTCAAATTCTTGGGGTTGTTTCATATCTGGTGGTGAGCTCTTATTCAACCATTTGGGCTTAGAAATTACTTTGTGTGTATAAGGTGGTGTTGATTGTGTTGCTTGGGGCTTTGTGGTTGAGAGTCATTACTTTCTGGATAAGATGAGTTCAACCATCACTGAAGGTTTGGTTAATCTGGGCAAGCTTTTGGTGCATATTGCTGAGAATGGGCACTCATTTGAGCTCGATTGTGAGGACACCACACCGGTAGAGGCAGTTATGCGGTATATTGAATCTGTGGTGGGGATTAATCTCAATGACCAGCTTGTTCTGTGTTTGGATATGAAGCTTGAGCCACACCGGCCACTTTCAGATTATAAGCTTCCAGCTGATGGTCGGGAAGTATTTATATTCAATAAAGCAAGACTGCAAACTAATTCATCCCTCCCTTTGCCTGAGCAAGTTGATATTCTTGAGATTGCCGAACCCCAATCACCATCGGCTTCACATGACCCTCACCCTTTGGATGATGCTTTGGACCCTGCTTTGAAAGCTTTGCCTTCTTATGAAAGGCAATTTAGGTACCACTACCACAAGGGTCATGCAATTTACACTAGTACCCAAGTGAAATATGAGAACTGCGAGCGGCTCTGGAGGGAGCAAAAGGTTCAAGAAAGGGCAGTGGAGGTTGCAAGGGGCAATTTGGACCAATACTATAGGATGATAAACCAAAACTACACAGAATTCATGAAGCGTTATTCTCAACAACATAGGATTCATTCTGATCTTTTGGTGAATCTTGGGAGGGATGTAGACAAACTGAGATCCATCAAGCTTCACCCTGCATTACAGACTGCCACTCGTAAGTGCTTATCGGATTTTGTCAAGGAAGAGAACTTGAGGAAAGCGGGAGAGAGTTGTAGCAGTTCCCACAGGCAGTTTGAGAATAAGGTTTCACAGTTCAAGCAGATATTTGGTGAGGTGAAGCGAAAAGTCGAGGAATTGTTTTCTAATAGGGCTTCTTTGCCTATTAGGAATTTGGATCTGACGATTAAGGAGCACCAGCGACATATTACTGAACAAAAGAGTATAATGCAGTCTTTGAGGTTAGATTCCTTTCATTTGTTGTCATATTCATGTACAGTATATATATCTTGTTTGTTTGTCTGTCCAATTTCCTTTGCCTGAGTCCTTCTGGAATGTTTTGGAGTTTCCTTCTGAATGGGCTTATTTTCTTTTTTAAAACGAAAAGATGAAATTATTTTCCAGAGATTGGAATTGTTAGTGTGAAGCCCCTGGAGTGATTCCACACCTATCTTTATTGTTCTATTTTCTGTTTTTAATTGTTTTGCTACTTAAGCCTACAATTCACCCATATCCTACACCACTTAGCTTGAGTGCCCATGTTTTTGGGGTATACAGTACCAGTAGATGGAATTGAAAAGAAGGGAGTTAGTGTAGACGCTCATGCCGAGGAGTGGAAAATAAACTTGCGAGCATTTGTGTTTTTTTTTTCTTTAAGCAAACGATTGCCACTTAGGTAAGTGCTTAATGTAATTGAACTAGATGAATTAGGTTCCAAAGTCATAAGGCGGTGGAGTTTTCATCTGAAGTCATTTTATCATTTTCACAAGATAAACTTCCTTCTATACTTTAGCTTCAAAACTTTCTAAAGACTTACTAACAAGATTCCATCTATTTTGTTTTCAATGTATGAACTACGTACATCAACCTACAAACAGGGATAGGAAAGTTGTGAAGATATGAGAGGAACTTTTTATTATTAGTGACTATCCTTTTGAGTATCATAACATTCAGGAAGTGATTATTCTTGTAAATTTTTATATGCCTGAACTTCTTTTTGGTGAGGACATTTGATGTGGTGGTTTTAGCAATCTGATGTAGTTGTCACCTGTAACAGTGGAGTCCTATCATAATAGATAAGAAGTATACCAGTTCCTAAACCTCCAAGACTATTTAAAGCTTTCTGAATGTTATGGTCTTTGGAACCAAGCTTCTCATTTTGCTTGAGTTAAGCCAGTTGGTGATGTAGGATATGGGTGAATTGTAGGCTTAAGTAGAGTAGTGGAAGCGAACAATGAAAAACAGAAAATAGAACGATAAAGATAGGTCTGGAATCACTCCAGGGGCTTCACACCCGACCTTGGCTTCACACCAAGAATTCCAATCTCTGGAAAATAAACTTTTCTCATAACTCAACAACTCTAACCTCCATATTGAATTACACAGTAGGGGTATTTATAATAATCTAACCTTAGAATGAAAAGGAAAATTAAACTTATTCTAGGAAAGAAATCCTAATCTAAATAAAATAAGAGACTTGGAAATCTGGAAAAACGAGAAATCCTACTGAAATCTGGAAACTTAGAAAACAAGTTAGAAACTAATCGCAGGAATAAAAAAAATTACTAGATTTAAAGACCAAATTAAATGATTTCCTCTTCCATCTCATTCTTTTGTAAATCCTAATGGGTTTAACAAAGATGTCCTCATCAGTTGGAATCGTGAGATTCTGGATAACACTTGTGTTTTCACTGCTGCACTTAGATATTTAATTTTCTGCCTTGAATTGTTGCATTAGTTATATTATTTTTAGAATATTACTAATGCAATCAACTGATTATAATTTATGCAGCAAAGATGTAAATACTGTCAAGAAACTTGTGGATGATTGCTTGTCTTGCCAATTGTCTTCGTCACTTCGTCCTCACGATGCAGTTTCAGCCTTAGGCCCTATGTATGATGTCCATGACAAAAATCACCTGCCTAGGATGCAGGCTTGTGATCGTGCAATTTCCAAGCTGCTGGACTTCTGCAAGGATAAAAAGAATGAAATGAACATCTTTGTCCATAATTATATGCAAAAGATAACATATATTTCTTACATCATCAAAGATGCAAAGTTACAGTTTCCTGTTTTTAGAGAGGCAATGGTGCGTCAGGAGGATCTATTTTTGGACTTAAAGTTGGTTCGGGGGATCGGCCCTGCATATAGAGCCTGCTTAGCAGAAATAGTAAGAAGAAAGGCTTCCCTGAAGCTTTATATGGGGATGGCTGGACAGTTGGCTGAAAGGCTTGCGACAAAGAGGGAGGCTGAGGTTAGGAGACGGGAGGAGTTTCTGAAAGCTCACATTTTGTACATGCCCAGGGATGTATTAGCATCCATGGGATTATATGATACCCCCAATCAGTGTGATGTCAATATAGCTCCTTTTGATACTGGCTTGCTTGATATTGACATTTCAGACCTGGACCGTTATGCACCTGAGTTCTTGGCAGGATTGTCTTCCAAGGGTTCGTTTAGAGGTTCATATTCTATGTCTAATGAAAGTTGTCATTCAGCAGAGGTTGGGGAGATTGCATTGGATAACCATGAGAAATATGACTCTGAGGAGCTACTTGAAGGCTGTGAGTTGGTAGAGATTGCTGGAACTAGTAAGATGGAAGTTGAGAATGCAAAATTGAAAGCCGACCTGGCTTCTGCAATTGCTATGATTTGTTCATTCTGGCCTGAAGTAGACTATGAATCATTGGATGATAGTAAAATGGAAATTTTATTGAAGGATGCTGCAGAGAAGACAGCTGAAGCCTTGCAACTGAAAGATGAATATGGAAAGCATCTGCAATCTATGCTTAGGATGAAGGAGATGCAGTGTCTTTCATATGAGAAACGCATCGAAGAACTGGAACAGAGATTGTCTGATCAGTATTTGCAAGGCCAGAAGCTTTCAAATGATAAGGATGCCTCTGAATTTGCCCTTTTGTCTGATAAGGTTGATGATTGCAAGCAAGAAATGTTAGGTAGTAGAGAAGTCCATATGCCTTGCTTATCTAATACTGAGCCCATGGATGAGGTTTCTTGCATCTCAAATTCTCTGGATACAAAATTGGGTCTGTTCAATGCACAACCTGGAAAAATGCGAGATGGGGGAGATGAAAATATGATGGATTCTTCTGCAGTACAAAATCATCAAATGGATTCATCAATGCAAGAGCTACGTCGTGAAGAAATGCTAGCCAGGGGTAAAGATGTGAAAGATAAGATGGTGGGGCAGCTGGGCATGTCACTGACAAACAGTTCTACTGCTGAAAGCATGCCTGAACCTCTGAATGTCTTACCATGTGAAACAGCAATTGAGCCAGGCTTGGACAACAAAGTCAGTACTGAACTGTTGTTGGAATTGGAAAGTGCACTTGCAGATAAGTCAAACCAGTTGAGTGAAACAGAAATTAAGCTTAAAGCTGCTGTGGAGGATGTTGCGATGCTTAAGAGGGAATTGGACACAAATCGGAAACTACTTGATGAATCTCAGGTACTAGTGGATCAACCGCATTTATTTTTTGGAGTGCTGCTTCCACCCACCTGTCCTATTTCTCCATACACTTTATTAACTCACCCTGTATTTAACTTCAAAACATTTTTATAATCTCTTTTCACACCCCAT